AGTGTGGAGGTTTGGAGCAYAGCATTGTCTGGATTGCAGCCGCGGTTTAATGGTTTTAACTCTTGGTCGGAGTTACTCTCGTGGATTAGGGGTTCTTCTCCTACGGCGCCGTCTCTASTTAGGAAGCTTYTGGCTCAAGCTACTGTTTTTCATCTATGGAAGCAGCGCAATAATGTCCTTCATAATCAAACGGCAATTCCTCCAATCTTMGTCTTCCAAGCCATCTATCGGGACGTTAAGAATTCGATCYCGYCAKGAAGGAAACGCAGTGACTTTAACAACATTATGTTGCTTTGGCTAAGATGAGTTTTGTGTTCATGACATAACTTTATACTACCTTGCTTTTTTATTCTTTTTTTGGGCAAGGTATTGTAAGATTTAGATGTAACTTTTGTAACCTCTAACATTTCATTGTCTAAATGATATTTACCTTTTATCAAAAAAAATACAATGGTCACAAAAAGTAAATAATGTTATTATTTCATAGAAATTTGAGGATGAAAAAAAAAATGATAGCATAAGATAATTCAGGATCATTTAATAACATTTGAAGGAACATGCATATCGTATCCTCTATATATTGAGGAAATGGTTCAAACAGAAACTATATATATAAAAAGGAAAATATAATTTGGTTTTGCCATTCTCATAACGATTTCAACTTTCCAAGGAACCGAAATGGCACTCATATTACTCGCTTTTGATTAGTAAAATAACTAGATTTTTGTCCCGCATCAAACGCGTGATTAAAAGATTTGAAAATAAAAAATCATAATTTTTATAATGCAAAAAAAAAATTAAAAACAAAAGAATCAAATAGTATATTTTCCATATAGATAAATATATTTTATCTTACAAATTTTAAGCTGCATGATATTGAACGTAAATATTTTTAATGAAAATCGAATACGTTTTAGATTCTGAGTTCTCAAACTTATTTGAGCTCATCAAACCTAAAAAATATCGCGTTAGTATGTAAATCTTCTTAAATAAAAAAAAACTTTAAATAAATAATAAAAAGTGAAAATGATGATTTTTGAAATTCAATCTTTAATGTTTGATTTGTAAAGTTGTATGTTTATAACAAAAGCGCAACCTTAATTAGAATAATATGAATATATAAAAGAAATAATTGTATGATTAATCACATATAGTATCCAAATGGACATAATACAATTTTTATAAAGTAATTAAGATTTTTAAATGATTCATCGTTAAAACATTATGTTCTATAACGTTTAGATATTAAAATGTTATATTTTAGTTGGATTTAAATTATTAGCATATGTACTTGTGAGTTTATGTCAAAAAATTAATGTAAATATGTAGAGATTTCTAACATAGCTTAAAGAATTAATTGGAATATTTTGATTGATTAATTTAATTAATGTGTCCTTTAAAATCTTTACTGAATGACAAATAAGATTTTTTTATTTAGTATCTCCTCAACTAATATATAGATGATTACTTTGATGTCATCTGGTTAAAGTGAAACACATTGATTTAAATTTGATTATTTCATTAAAAAGCTATTAAAATGTATGTAAGGAATTTAAAAAAAAAAACTGTATGTAAGGAAATTTAATGAAAGAAAAACAAAAATCCAAATAAATTATTCGTTGTAATTTTTAGTAGATACCAGAACTATATATCAAGTCAAGATTTGTTTTTATATATTAAGTTTTGACAATTCGGAAGAAATATACAATACACAGAAAATAAATAAATTAAAGAGGATAATCAAAATCCAATAGGGTTTCATGTTACCAAATGAACTAACATCATTGGAGGAAACATTCATATCTTTATTTGTCCCCATGAAGCTTTGTTTTTACTTCAACTTCTTCTCTCGCCTTCTTCTCTTTGATCTCCTTTGAAGTACTACTATTATTTAATTAACAGTATCTTTAGCAAAATCGAGATTTGTTAGATTAATTAAACACTAATTGGAATGTTTGTGGCGACTTGACTCTTACACGCATGCAATAAGAGTTACTAGTATACAATTTATAAATGGTACATTGGTATAAAAAACGGGAGGAGGATTCTGGACCACTTAAACAGTCATTATTGTAACGAATGTGTGGTTTATATGGTTAATACGTTGCCATAAACATTTGCTAATCGTGATTAGCAACAAAAAGTGAGGTTTGGAGATGTCTTTGTGATTTTAAACAGAACACGTGTAAGGCATCTGAATTATAAATATGTAGTTTATGAAACTACTGAAAGTATAATTAATGTACTATTTATTATAACTTAGCAAAAAAAAAGTACTAATGTACTACTAAATATACACATAAGTTGATCGCAGAGCCGGATCAGGGAAGTTTTTTGAAACAATTGAATAGAGCCCCCAATCTAGGAATGGTTCCACTTAAAAAAAAAATTATATAGTATTGAAAATAAGAAAAAGGTTTCGGAAATGGTAACAATATTTTGGTGGATCCTAATCAAAATAGTAATATTATATGTGGAAAAATTTGTTCTTCTTCAAGAGTTATTATTTTTTCTTTGAGAAAGAGAGAGCAAAGGCGATGATTGTTGGGAAAAAAAAACTGATTAAGTTTTTTATTTTTAGATATATGTTTATTTTCTTTTGTGTCCAATATTAATTATTTATGGATGCAACTTTTTTTTAAAACAAATTCAATAAAAAAATATTTTTTCTTAAACATGAGTTTTTATATGGTTTTTCTTCTTACTCTATAATTATTTTATATTTAGGCTTTTATATTATAAATATTATTCGTATAAGGCTCCGGCTATTTCAGATGCGGCTCTGGTTGATCGTCATGCAAGTCGTCATCATGCAATTCGCTTCGGAAGAAATGTAATACTTTAAGGTCAAAGGGTTCTAATTATATATTTTTAGTCGATATTTTTTAAAAATCTTCTAAAAATGCCACTTAGAAATGCCACTTTTGAAATGTTAATTTTCAAAAATGCCGAATGTTTTAAAAAAATACCACTAAAATTATGTAACTTACTTAAAATATCATTTATGTTTAGTTAAACTATGTTATATTAGGGTTTAGTTTTTAGGGTTTAAGGTTTTTTAGGGATCAAAACTTTTTTTATAGTTGAGAATTTGAAAATTTAAATATTAGTGGCATTTTTGAAAATGAACAATCCATGATAATATTTTTGAAAATAAACACATCAAAAATGGCAGTTATACAATTGTCCCATATTTTGATAGTTAAGCATCCATACATTACCAAAAAAAAAAAAAATTCCTTCAAAATTGTCATGAGAGATAAAAAGAGAAGAAGCACCAACACTGTAATAGATATATCACAGGTAGGAAATGTTCAATATAACTGATAGACTTTTTGTATGATCGCAACTTCGAAAATGAATCCTTATAGTTCTTCACATAAACCCATTTTTTATACAATTTTTTATTAAAATATGTAAAACGATTTGTTTTAACAATTATTGTCCCAATCGTAAGTTGAAATAAATTATTTATCAAATTAACGCAACTATTGATTATGTAAATGAAAAAAATAATGCAACTATAAGTTTACTTAAATTTATACTCCCACATATATTATAAGATACTCTCTCCATTTTATAAAAAGTGTCATTTTGACACATTTTACGCGAATTAAAAAATCTCTAGAAATAAAAATATGCCCATGTTAATTAATAGTACATAATTTCTTTTAAGTAAATTATAATGAGTTAAATTCAAAGGGATTAAATTCAAAGGGATTTAGTTTCTAATATGAGGTAAAAATAGAAAATGTATTTGAAGAATCATATTAAAAGAATAGAACGAAATTTTTTTTAAACAAAAAAAAAAAAACTCTAGAACGACATTCTTTGCGAAACGCAAGGAGTATTAAAGAAGGTTAACAAACTATTTGTTAAACAAAATAGAGCTTGTAAGTAAATACTCTTGTATGAAATAAAAGATGATCAAATTTGATATTTTGCATATAATAAATTTCAGCATGGTTTTGACCAGACGGTCCAAGTAGTTGAGAAAGACATCGAGATATGAGAAAGGAGAAGAAAGAAGAAGCACATGGAGTGAGCAAGACGAGGTTTCTTTGTGTTTTGTAACCTTTCCATTAGTCTACCATTCTTACTATTTCTGGAAAGTTTTCTCTCTTCCGCTTCCTTTTCTCTATCTATTCAACTCTCCCTTCTTCAATGTGTAAACAGTCATTCTCGTTGGATCCCAAATATGTTTGTCTCTAAATAAAATTTTACAGGCTAATCTTACTTAGAGATAATACGAAGATAATGTTGGAATTTGTCTACTGTCTATTGGTTTATTGGTACTTGTTCTTCGTCGTCTTTGAACCTGATCGAGCAAAGAATTTTTATTTGGATATGTAGTGATTTCAATCCTCTTTCCAATATTTTGTTTCATAAATCTAAGTCATTGCTTAGTTGTAATTGGTTATCATCAAGATTATAATACAGCTGGATTCGAATGTACAGATTCTACAATCAGCATATATTATATAGGTCGAAAAAAAGAGCTTCACTTAAAATGTTATCTTCACTTAATTATATGAATTCTAAGAAGTTGATCAAAGAAAAAAAATATATGAATTCTAAAAACTTTAAACATCTTTATTAATCACATAATATAATCACAATAAAAGTTAACGGAGTAAATGTGTTCATCGTAGCGGAGAGGTCTTCCTAAACAATATCATGAATGGAAGACGAAAAACTTGATTTCTGAAATAAGAATTTAGGTTTTTCCCTCTTACTTGTAAATTGTTCTTCAAGTGTACGCCGTATTTTTGGGATGTCTCTATGCTAGAATAAAAGCATATGAAAACCTAATTCATCAGTTCGTTAAGATTAGTCTCAATCTTCCATCAAAGTAGAAAAACTATAAGACCACGTTATAGAAAATGAAATGTTCCTTACGCTTCTGAACACTTATGAGGTATTTGGTCTACTTAAGAGGCTAAGAGCTTGTAGCAAAAGTAATCAACGAACATGGTTTGGTGTTCTTAGCGACTTCCATCTACAACAATTCCTGATGAAGAAGTTGATTATACACATTATTTTGCTAGCAAATCAAACCGAGAGGGATTCAAGCTCAAATGAGCTTTATTATATAGAAAACAGCATATCTCATTTAGAGTTTTATTCATATGGAAAAGAAAAGGCAAAATAAATTTTACAAAATAAAAAAAAAAAGAAGTTGATTTCATTGAATCCAAACCGATGCACCAAAAATGACATTGTTCTGTGTGATCTTCAACTACATTTTTTTTTGTAAACTACATTTAACTTCGCGTACATTACAACTCTTCCAATAACACAAACATACATATATTACATTCAACTTTTCCCTCGAGAAAGTAAATCCATTATTGAATATACATTTCCTTTCATAATTTTATTTCTATGTTTCTTACAATGTCTTCATTCTTAAAGGTCAAGACAGACAGCCACAGACTTCGAAACAGCAACCAATACACTGAAAACAAGCCAATGCTGCACAAAGCTGAGAGAATACGACCGTACACTGATCACTCATCCTCGAAACGCAACGCAAGCAACACATACAACAAACTCTATCCACCACTCCTTCCACCACTCCCGACGCCGCTCTTATCATAACCTCCGCTCCTTCTGGCTCTTTTGGCTCCTCCATCCACGGCGGAACATTCTTTAACGTAGCAGCCACGTTACCAAAACCGAACCCTTGTTTACCAAGCAAACTCGTTCTCTCGCTGTTCCTAGTCATCTGCTTGTGGATTTGGTACGGTGGGTTCCTAAGAATCTCTTTGATTGATACCGGTCTTGTTATCGTCTTCTCTTCGCCCTCTTCTTGCTTGAGTGATAAAACCAATTGCGTGTATTCGCAAGGAAACCCTGTTTCTATACTCAACCTCGTGACCTGATTAAGAATGAATGTAGTTAAACAACAAGATTTACAGTTTGAAGAACAACGTCAAAACCACAAATCCCTAAACCTTTTCTTGTAGCTCTATCTTGTCTTCGAACCAAGCTCGAGCAGTGAGTTCATCGATTTGTCTCCTCGCAAGAACCTGTTTTTAAAACGTTAGAAAAAACAGCTTTGTTGCGTTTTGTTACATTTTCGAGTAGTGTTTAAGTAAACCTTGTCTAGAGGAATGTCCTTAGCTTTCTGAACTGTTAGCTCTATTGTGAAACAGGTCAAATCAGCCAATGTGCCTCTGAGTTCAACTTCATCTGGAAACTCTCCTCTGTATCTACCAGACAAGATCAATGGTTGACCGAGCGTAATGTCTGGAACCCGAGAAGGAAACAGCTGCAAAAGACAAGGTAGAAAGTCAAGAAAGAAATCCAAAAACTCGATGTTACTGAACTTGTTTTAAGTACCTCGACTGAGCGTAGGAGTTTGAGAGCATCGAAAGTGGTATTGGCTACAATCGTTGAAGTAGCAGAATCAAATAGTCTACTCATCTGATGCTCGAATGAATCTGGCTAGGTGTATTGTTAATACAAGAAAACAGGGGACGTTTTTAGTTTCTTGATTCTGAATTAGTAGCATCAGCTAAACCAGAGGCGATTACAATTTACCTGTGTTGTTTGTGCCATCATAATAACCATTCCCTATCCGCGCAAGCGTTTGCAAGAAGTAATGGTTGCAATATGAACCTGCGCAATGTTTATAATCAAGATTTTGATATTTATATGAAATAGCAAGCAAGCAAAAGAAGAGTATTGTTTACTTACCAATGCCAAAGGTAGATATCCGAGGAGATACCGATTTTTCCTTTCTGCTACAACATTCTTTCATGGTATTACATATCTCTCTCTCGTTTTCAACAGATCCATCAGTGACAAGGTACACAAGAGGAACTCCAATCTTGCTTCCTTCAAGCAGTTTCATTGCCTACACACATGAAGAGTCTTAAGAAACTATCAAAATATGTCTCTCGAAAAAACCAAAGAGATTCTAGACGAAAGAACCTGTTGGAGTGGAAGCAACATGTTTGTTCCACCACTTGCGATCAAATTAGTATCGAGCCATTCAGTAACAGCAGAGATAGTTTCATCTGTTGCAAACTCCATCGAAGTTGAGAACTCCAAAATGTCGTCATTGAAGGCGATAATGTTGAAAACATCTTCAGCTTTTAGCTTAGACAAACACTCTAACAAGGCTTTCTTTACATCCTCGAGCGGCTTCCATTTCATACTTCCACTTATGTCGATCACAAACACAACTCTTCGTTTAAAAACCTATACAGATAACAACATTGCACTGATCATTACACAGTAAGCAGAAAGAAAGATTCATAGCGATATCCAAAAGTTGTAAGAACAAACCTGCTTATGCCTGGTGGTTCCAGGGAAAAGGTACAAACAGAATATCCCTCTGTCATCTGAATCCCATGGAGATGGAGATTTAACCAAAACATTACCAGTAAGATCACCAGAAGAAACCTGTGGCAAGAAAAACAGATATACCGATCTTAAAATCGAAAGAAGAAAAAAATTGAGCTTGAGAGATTCAAGAAAACTCTCACTCACATTGAAAGAAACACCAAAATCAACTCTTGACCAAGATGATACTTCAGCTTCATACTCACAGCTTAATTTACCAGCTTCACGGTGAATCATCTGCGGAATGATCATCACACATTTACACAATCCGTAATCCTAATCCGGTGTATCAATCAATCTTAAAAACTTGTTAGTCATACCTTCAAAGGATGGCTTGAATAACTACAAGCAATTTCGCCACCATTAACACAAGAATTCATGTTTAACACAATCTTTTCTCGTTTGGTAATCTCTTTCCCTATAGGAGTCACATAACCAGGGAATCTAAATGGCACATTGAGATGAAACTTTCCATCTTTGTAAACCAATTTCTGTGACCAATTCACATTAACCGAAAATATCGATCCTCCAACAACCTATAAAATCATTTAACATTCCATTTTAAATCACAAGAAAATCCAAATAAATTAGCAAGAAGTAAAAAAGGAGTTTAACAAGAAACAAACATGTGGGATCTTGAAAGTATAGATTTGAGACTTCATGAAACGTGAATCTTTGTCTTTATGAACATTATCAAACTCTAAAGTCTCTTCCTCTGTAACTAGTTTCGTCTTGTAAGATTTCTCATTGCTCATTACATCAATCTCAGCTCCTAGTACTGTACCCTGTCTCACCAAAAATACTACTAATGGAATGAAACAGGAAAAAAAAAAAAAATTAATGTTTTTTTTTCTTTTTTTTGTCCTTACCTTTTCGCCCATAGGAACAGCGACGCAGCAGTCAAATCTTTTGCTAGGCATAACACAGTGAACTCGCCACCGTCCGGTGACGGAGACAAACGCCGTGTCGAGCCAACAATCTACTCTCATCTCTATTCCGAGCATCTGAAGCGGCACGAGCGCCGACGGATCACACCGTGCGTGTACATACGGCTGGTAACTAGGAACGTCGGGATTATCTACAGCCACCGGATCTGTAATCGAAGCATAAGCCGTAATCGCCGTCGGAAGAAAATTTTCCGGCGACGAAGGAGGATCTGGTACTAAAGGAGGAGTTACTCCTTTACCGTAGTATATCCTTCTTGAGAGCTTAAGACCTTGCTCCACTCTAATCGCGAATCCTTCCGACATTTTTTTTTTCTCCGGCGAGAGATTTTTTTTTACCGGCGTGTGAAGGTGAGAGATAGTGAAGAGATTTATTTTCAGGTCCGTGATTAAAGGGGGATTTTAAATCGGCCGGTTAAAGGAATGGAAACAGAAGATTTTTAATAAGTGTGTTTTTTAGCCAATGTGTGATTTACACGTGTAAATATCCTGCCGCCAGAACAGTCACGGATATTTTTTTGTATTTTTATGGTAAAAATTGTTTTTTTTTTTTTTTCATACATGGTAAATATAGTTTAATTTAACATTTGTAGGATTTTTTTGTCTTTTTGAGCAGAATGTTGCAATTGGTAATTAAATAGTAGTACTATTTTTGTTTTGTCCGAACGAAGATGCTTAGCTA